CATCCAAAGTGTCATTTGATTCTCTAGAGTATAATGAACATTTCATATCAACAAACTACTGTTCCCAAATCATTTCTAGTATGAAAAAAGTGCATTGACATGTAAAAACCACGATTTTCAGCCCCAAAATAAACATACCCCCATAACCTCCCCAAATATGAATATGGGATCGTAATATTTTGTTTTTGGGGGTTTTGAGGGATGCCCTTTCGAACGCGCATGGGCATTTGAAAATCGGCGTGTAACAGTATGGGATGTTCACTGGTGAGTTTGTCATCGAAGATAACTCCCAGATCGTTGACAGAGGAACGCTGAAGCAGTGGAATGTCATTAATGAAGTAAATTGGGCCAGATGGAACGGTTTTGTTAGAAAATATCACAATGTGACACTTTTCAATGTTTAAATGAAGTTTATTCACAACGCTCCACCTGTACAGGCGATCTATGTTAAACTGAAGTTTGTTTAATCCATAGGTGTTTTGATTTTGATGAAAATTTTTAAATCATCAGCAAAGAGAAGAAATTCACATTTTAGAATGTTACTCAGATCATTAATGAAAATATTAAAGTGAATCGGGCCAAGGACTGATCCCTGCGGGACACCCGATGTCGGCCCAAAGGTCGATGACCTCGAACCGTAAAACTTGACATACATTTGGCTATTGGTGAGATAGGACCTGAACCAGTCGACGAGTTTATGGGAGACACCAATTACAGAAAGTGTGGATAGTAAGAGTTCATGATCAACGGTGTCAAAAGCCCTTGAGAAATCAGTATATGCCGTGTGGACTTCACATTTTTCATGAAGGGCATTGGCTCCATAGCTTTCATATTCAGTTAGATTTGTGTTTGTGGATTTGTTTTGTGTGAAGCCATGCTGTCTTGGTGTAAAATGTTGTCCAACAGTGGACAAAAGATGCATATTCACAATCTTTTCAAAGACAATCGCAATTGCGTTTGCCATACAGATTGGTCTATAATAAGTTACCAATGTTTCGTCGCCTTTTTTAAAAATCAGTGTCACAAATGACGCCTCAAATTCTTGTGGAACAGTAGCTGATTTGAGAGATTTGTTGAACAGCATTGATAGTGGTTTTGAGATTTGTTCATTGGTCTGCCGCAAGAAGTAATAAGTAACGCTTACATCTTCGTTATTTTTTATCATAAATGCATAAAATAACTATGGTTCGTTTCGTTGAGCATTTGGCTACATAAATTGGGCTAACATACTCATATATGTACGTACACTAGCTTGACTATACGTGAAATGGGTGCCTCTATGCCCATATACATTTTTCGACAAATTGCGTATAAAAATTAATGTGAAACTATGAAAACATCATTGGAAAGATCTTGAAAAGTACATGTAATTTAAGTTATAAAACATCAAAATCGATCATCATTTTATCAAAGTATTGCCATTTTATCAATTTTGGCCAAAAAAAAATTCCAACTGCCAAATATTGGCCAAATGCCGGCCTATTTTGAAGTTTTATACCAAAAATGACATCTACTTTTCAAGACCTTTCTAGTGATATACATAACTTTTTGATCCAATCTGCCGTTCAAAATCTCAATTTTTGACGTCAAAATCGGCCAATCTCCACTTTATTGAAAAAATTCCAAAAAACTTGCTGTTGCCTTTCATATTTCGATTTTTTATGACTTTTATCACATTTCAAAGTAATTTTCATACTTTTCCGATCAATAAATACTGAAATATTTACATTTAAAAATTAAAATTTAAGAAAAAACTGACATTTCCCATTTAAAATGCATTATGGGCACTCAGGTACCGGTTTCACGAACAACGTTAGAAAATACATTTCACGGTTTGAAGGTTAAGTCAACTTTGTTAATTGTTCATTCAACATCAGAAGGTGTAATGTGTGGAATGATTGATCGGTTTGTGATTGAGCGGTATTACCGATGTTGATAGAACGGTTTGATGAACGGTTAGTGTATGTTGACTTGAAATAAGAGGCGAAGAGATCGCATATATCCCCAGAACTTGATGCTGTTGTACCATTGAATTTGTATTGTATTATTGTATTGTATTATGTTTATTAGCGTTAGCTTTTCTAGTTACATTTTTATTTAAACAATAAAATTCTCCATTATATGATTTTTGCATTCCGTTTTAAATCGGGAATTCAATCCAATAATTTGTACGGCGGTTATCGCGACGAAAATCGGGTAATTCCCGCTTAGAAAGTGGGAATGGGAGGTCTATAAATAAATAATAGGTCAAAAACAATCACCAACTCAATGGATGGTTATATCACATAAAATTAATTAATATGATTTATTTTTCTTACGAATTCTAGAGGCTAGAATCGCAATCGCCCGGGCTACGTCGGTATTCATAATGTATCTTTCATCGAATGCAGCGGCCATGGCTCATAAGCAAAATCATAAAACATTCAGTGCGGCGGACGTGCTTGATTCAATCAACGAAATGGACTTCAAAACGTTTACAGCGCCAATGAAAACCGCATTAGTTTCGTATCAAAAGACAATAAGAGACAAAAAAGATAACAAGAAAAATAGCTTGGATGGACGAAAGTCAGTAGGGTCAGCCAATACACCAGCCAACGCAACAGTATCGCCAACAAAAATCACAAACCATAATTTGATGCAAAGAATACAACCACAACCACTCACTATATCGTCAGATATAATTGAGATTGATGATAGTGATTGATGCGGATTATTTATCACAGTGCAACAAAATTCGCTAAATTTGTTGCGTCTCTCCGGATCTTATCAATTTCTGATAAGGTACTTAAATACGAGCTCAAATCGATCTTAAGAATCATACTTTATGGTGCTCCATTTTTTCTCACATAACTCGAAAGAATCTGCACAAATCCATATTAATAAAAGGCTTATTTGAAAGAGGACATCAATACAAGCATTTTGACACTCTACTCGTCAGAATCGGTCAAGTAGTTCTGGAGATATGGCTCGAAACGTGTGCGCTACTTACAAATAAATTACTGTTCTGGGTCTATTTTCCACGCAAAATCAAACAAAACTCTTCAGAATCGGCATGTGTATGTAAGTTTAGCGCCGGATTATTGTAGCTGGCACCAATGCGAAAAGTTTGAGCGCATGAAATAATAAGAATTGCAAAGTTTTATGACGCTCGCATTAACGGCTGTGTGGTTTTGACCACTTTGATCTTTGAAAAAGTCCTTGAACTTGCGATTTTACCATTTCACTCAAACATGGATTGTGCGCGAACGAGACCAAAGATTTTGATGCCCAAGCGCTTAATTGTTCATACAGACGCCAGCTATAATAATGAGGTGCTAAATTTGAGAAGAGGTCCGAAATCGTCATTTTTTTGTTGATAGCGCACACGTTTCAAGCCATATCTCGAGAAATACTTGATTGACTTTAATGAATAGGGTATCAAAATGCTTTTAATGATGTCCAATCTCGAAAAGATTTTACAATCAAGTGGGTTTTTTTTGGAAAATTTTGGAGTTATGTTACCCAAAATGTGTAAGAAAAACCCGAAAAAATAAGCACCATAAAGTATGGTTTTTAAGATTGATTTGTGCTCATATTTAGGTTCTTTAAGATCAGAAAATAATAAGATCCGGAGAGACGCAAAAAGGGTGTTGCACTGTGTTATTCTTCGGCATACGTAAAAATCGCTTCAGCAAAAAAAATCGGTGATTGTCAAGCTAGGGGGTAGACACAACATTTAAAACTTGAATCTTTTTAGATCTTTTCAAATCTATAGGAATCTCAAATCTCGAGCAAATCCAAATACTTTTGAATTTCTATGAATCCTTATGAATCTTCTCAAATCAAAATGGCTGACTTGTCAAGAAGGTCAAACAAATCAGTAAGATTTTTACAAATCTTTTCAAATCCCTTCAAATCTCAATGAATCTTCACGAATCTGAACACCTCTACACAAAATCAATTAAGTATTTTGAAAAACGAACGTATCTCAGATCTTGTGTCTATCCCCTAGTTGTCAAGTCAAAATCTTATATCATATCATTATCAATAAATATCTTGATGTTTTCAAAATACGTTTCACATTAAACAAAAATACTCCAGCTCCTTGAAATAAAACTCGTTCATTAATTAATTTGTCAAATCTATGGGTGAGATTGAGAGTGGGGTATGTTTTTTCTTCGATTAATATTTTTGAAAAGGCGAGTATGTTTTCTGATGATTCTGTTGGTGTTAAAGTAGAGTATGTTGTAGTACCGTCTAGCCTCCGCGGTTTTCACGGTTTTCACGCAACTGATAAGAGATAACAACATATCGTCTTCGGCAAAGTTATAGTACTCGAGGTCATCTCTTATCTCTTATCAGTTTCGCGCAAATCGCGCAATTAAAAAAGCAAAATTTATATAGAACTTTTTTTTCTTTTCATTTTCCGCGCTTTTCGCGGAACTGATAAGAGATAAGATGTCTTCTGCTTAGTTATAGAGGACCTGGAGTACTAAAACTTTGCCGAAGAGATCAAGTTGTTATCTCTTATCAGTTCCACGAAAACCGCAAAAAACCGTGACAACCCGCCAAAAATGAACATACTCGCCTTTAACCATTTTTAAGTCGAAAGAAACTTACCCTTCTCTTTCATAACAAAGTCAGTGAAACATACACTACTCTCAATCTCACCTATAGAAATGTGTCAAAAGAAAAAAAAAATAGTTTGATCAAAAATTCACAACGTGAATACATTCAAATATTCTTTATTTATAAATTATTACAGTTACACTATTTGCCATTGATAGTTTTTTTCCATATCACTACCCCGATATAATTTATTTATTCTTGCGACGACGTTGCTCACGCTCCTCCTGTATGAAGAATACGAATGCACTGTAGTATTTGTTATGAAAATATGTGAATATTTTAATTTACCTTCTGAGTGAGAATGATTAGCAAGCGACGGAACATTGAAATCAAATCAAAGAATAAATCCATTGAATGTCTGATGCAATCTGTCGATCCTGCTCGCCGTTTTTCCATAATCATTTGAGTGTCGAATAAAACAAACCCAGCCATAACGACGAGTCCAACATACAGATGAGCCTTATGTGTAAAATGATAAAAAATTTAATCAGCAAAACAAATTGGAACATTTTTATGACCCAACAGACAATTTAACTTACCTGATAAATCAATTGTGATTGAATGAAAATATTTGCGAGTCCAAACAAAGCCATTGTGCTCAAAGTAGTCAAAAGAAGTCCGCCGATGAAAAGAAAGCTTCCACGATCAGCCAATAATGCAGAGCAGCTAAGTGAAACGAAGACCACAACTGTTCCAATCAACGCTGTTACAACGACTTGTGGTTCAATTGCAATCACCAAATTAAGTAGGGGTCCAATCGAATTTCCAGTTAAGAAACCGAAACACATTAGAGCCGCCAATCGAGTGTAAAACGTTTTCGGATCATCAACAGCAAAGCTTAGGTACAATGCCAAACCAAAACCAATTAAAGCTGATAGAAGTGGTGCTTCAAATATTCCAAGTAAATGAACGGCAGCGCCAATGGCAGCGCAAAATGTAGTTGCGGTGAGACATGCATAAACTCGGACCAAATGATGTCTTACTGTTGGTTCGCTGTAGAAAATATCGTATAAATGAAGGAAGTTATTATTATGACAAAATGGATTTGTTACCAATTTTCTGACAAAAAAATATATAGAAATTCCAAATGTACCCAAATAACATTTGGATCAGTGAGTCTCTCTCTGTGTGCATGTGTGCATGTGTATATATGGTAAAGAAGTATTAAAAATAATAACAACAACAATAATATGACGTGGTTTTGTAATTTCACATTATTCGTTCGTCCAACAAAAAGAAGTGGAGAACTTACATTTTATTATTTTTACTTACATTTTATTGCCCAAATTCTGCGCAAATCTAGTGAATGCATCAGCTGCTGCAGACATTTTAACGATACTTGAAGCTGATTTATTTTTATTTTCTTTTTTCTTGATTTTCCAATCGCGAATAAACAAAGTTTATTCCCAAAACACAATAAATTTTGAACGATTTTCAAGTATTTTCAAGAGGAATCTTTTTTTTATCTGAACAACGGAAAATTATAGAATTTACGAAATCTTTAAACAAAAAATTGTAGTAAATTTATAAAATAAATTGTTAAGAGATCTGCTTTTATTGACGTCCGAACAATATATGATGTGTACTTTGACGAGTTTTCTTTCTACGTTCTACGTGCGCGCAAATACAATCAAACCTAACACATCAAACTTACTTTCATGAGTATACATATTATACATACACAATCACATAACCATTCATGTCTGTCTGTCTGTTTCTTTGTTTTGTCAGTGGAAGTTTCTACATTTTTCTGTGACAATAGAATAATCGCAACTTACATTCGAAAATCCAATGTTCGGTTGGTGATGTTAAAGTGACAATGACGTCTGCATATCTGACGCGTCGTATCAGCATATCTGACGCGCAATGCATGTAAATTGAGGTTAGAAAGAGATAGACAGTATTGCAAAGTGTATTCTTTTTTTCCTTTATCATGGTTTTATCTTCATCAAAGAAATGGCAGACTATTTGCTAAAAAAAAATTTTCAATATTAAAAACTTGACTTTAAATTTATATTAAGAATACAAATAATCACTATTATTATTTCTACATGTTAAACAAAAAAATCTTATAAGATTAAATTTTATAAACAATAAAAAAAAATTCAAAGTTGATTTTTTTTAATTTTTCAATAATATAACGAAAATCAAATGTATTTAAGAACTGGTGACGAGGCCATGACCGCTTCTCCAAATTTAGATAGATGGCTAAGATTTGCATCGGTTTAAAATGATATTAAATCTAAATCTTTTCAGAAGATGTGTTTGTGGATATTTTTCATGTGGTATATGTATATTTATCATCCCGCAAATGCTCATTTGATATTTAAAAATACATACAGGAATATGCAGCTTTATAATTGATTTCTTAAAAATAACCTGACTCAGAATGAAAAGGCTGCGTTCGTTGGAGATTTTTCTCTTCTGTATGAAAGTGGTCAGTTTTATTGAGATGGTGATTTTTCGATTAACATATCTAGGCCATCCTGTTCATCCTAAGTCGAATTATTTTTAAGCAATAGATAAACTGATACAAATATCAAAATTTATGTATTGAATTTTGGCAAGAAAAAGCAAGACATTTCAAAAATAAAACTAAAAAAACAGTAAGTCCATTTACAAAAAAGAAATAATTTATGCCTGATTGTATTTATAAAAGCGCACAATATATCAAATAGCCGTAGCAGTCTTGCTCGATTGTATTGTTGTCGATTGTGGTATTGTTGTCGATGTTGCCTGGGGACTTGATGATGATTCTGGAATTTGAATCTGAGAAGTTAAAGCTGTTGTGGTTTCTGGTACGATGGGTGTCATGTTATTTCGTGAATTTTGTAGCTGTTGTAAATAACGCCGTTGAACTGGCTTATGTAGAGACAATTGTTGTAGCGCTTCATCAATAGTAAACCACTGCCTTTTTCGATTCATAGTTCTGAAGTCTTCCCAATCTGCTAATTCTTCGGTAACATTCATTACGAATACTTTCGTTCTATGTTTGTGTTCAAAATTCTGTACGAAAAATATTGAATTTACCCTGTTATTAGAAATGGATTCAAATAGACATGTATTTGTTTTTTTATCAACATTGCAACGCGCTTTCAGCAAAATTTATACCTATCACATAGAAAATTGATGTTAAACTTTATTCTTGCTATTACTTATGTCAAAAGTATTGAAAATATTTGGTCACATCAAGATATTTGAAAATAATTTTACCTCGAGGGATAAAAATCTGAGAGGTAATAAAAAATGGATGACCCCAAAAATACTATATTTTCATTGAATCTTGAATTTTTTGCCCAAATTCTCTGGTTTCTCGTCATTAATTTTGATATTAAAGACATTTCGAATCAATTTGATTAAAATAAATATCACCCTTCATCACTTTGTGATGAAATTTACCACGCGAGCTCGTGGTTAAAATCCGGGCGGTAAAAAATGTGCAATAATCATTTTGATCACATTTTTGATTTTTTTCGTATTGTCAGTGCTGTAACTAGAACAATAAAAAGAATTACATTGGTAATCTCGAACTTTTCCGTACCGTTGGCCTGCGTTGTACGTATGTACTTTTGGTTATTTTTTGTGAATTTTCTTGAAATAAAGGCAGTGAAAATATAATAAAGAAAATAAATTGAAAAATCGGTCACTTTAACTAAAACTTCGACAATTTTGTATGGAAGGTACCCGTAAACCGATTCTTATTGGCTTTAAACTTTCTGAGGTTTCATTTTTTGGAAAAAAAAATAAGATTCTGAAAGTTTCATGTTGATCGCACTTGCAGAAGTTTGGTTTTTGGCCCTCAATTTTTTCCAAGAAATCAAACTTCTGCAAATGCGATCAACATGAAACTTTCAGAATCTTATTTTTTTTCCAAAAAATGAAACCTCAGAAAGTTTGAAGCCAATCAGAATTGATTAACGAGTACCTCCCATACAAAATTGTCCAAAAGTCGGTAATTTTAGTGAAAATTTCAAAAAATTTGTATGGGAGGTACCAGTAAATCGATTCCGATTGGTTTCAAACTTTCAGAATCTTATTTTTTCCCAAAAAATGAAATCCCAGAAAGTTTGAAGCCAATCTGAGTCGATTTACAGGTACCTCCCATACAAAAGTGTCAATTTTTTGAGGTTTTTCTTAGGGCAAGTACCCCAGGATCAAATCGAAAATGGCTCATCTTCGAACTTAAACTAAGTTTTTCGGATACAAAACTTTTGGCATTTCCAGATTTTGATTATCTCAATTATTTTTTGAGTTATCGTGTTCACAAACAGCTACGACGACGACGACGACGGCACACGAACGGAAAAGTGTCTCAAAAAGTGGTTTTCTACGCGTTTCATGAGTTTTTATGATGATCTAAGCTAATTTTGCGAAAAAAGTTTTCGGGACCAATTCCTATACTTTCCCTTGACACGGTGTGTACGGAAAAGTAAAATCTTTGGTGGTGTGCTGAAAATTTTCAAAGGTGCTATGAAAAACGATGAAACAACAACAAAAACAACGATGTGTTTTGTGGTTTTTTGAGAACTTCCTGCTTTTTGAACTTGTGATTATCAAAAACTTGAATCTTCTTGTCTTCTCCTTTCTGTGAGATATCTGTCGGCTTATTAATAGTTTCAGTTCTTTCGAATGTGTTTACAGATCCACTTACAATTTCGTTTGAAACAATTATGCTTGGAACAATTTCAATTGAATCAACTTGTTCAGGAGTAGTTGAACTAGTTGCTTTCGGTCGGCTTTTCTTGTTCCAAAAACTGTCCAATGTAGCAATGTTTTGTTTTGACTTTCTTCTGTTTTGTTAATTGAACTGATAAACTGAGTAGTCAAAGTGATATCAATATGAAGTTTGATGACTTTGGTTTCAAATTGGAATGAGCCGTTGAAATTCTAAGTTAGCAAAAATAATAAATAAACGCGTTTCAAATAACCAAGTTTTAATTTGAATCCAAACAGAATCGATAATCGATGCATAGAAGAATGCTTTGATTTAAAACACAGAAGCAAAATACTCAATCGAACATTATCGGTATTTTTTCAAGAAGGAAAAAATTTGGTGGTGCTCGACAAGACTTTGGTGGTGCTGAGCACCAAGCACTCGTCTGATTACGGGCCTGCGTATTGTGCAATATTTTCACAAATAACTTCTTGTGGCTTGTGAAAAAGATATCAACTCGGCGTTCTGCATTTTGAATTGAACCTGAACACATTCTTATTTACTCAAACACATTCAATTATAAAGGAATTATTGGGTGTATGCATTAATTTTAGAGAATTTTTGAGTTCATAGATACATTTATTAAAATAATAAAATGAATGAGTACATTAACCAATGTATTCGCCATCGTTAGCTATGACTTCTAGCCATCTTTCAGGCAGCTTGTTGATTCCTCGCTTGAAGAAGTCCTCGTCTTTTGAGGTTATGTAGTCATCAACCCATTTTCGCACTTCTTCCTCATTTTGAAAGCGTACTTCAGACAGGGCAATCTGCATCGATCGAAATAGATAGTAGTCGCAAGGAGCAAGGTCTGGAGAGTACGCGGGCTGATCAAGCCGATCCCAACCGAGCTGCTCTACCTTATTTTTAACGATTGTTGCACGATGTGGCTTAGCGTTGTCATCGTGGAACAAAACATTGTGGTGTTTTCGAGCTATTAATGGCCGTTTTTCATCCAATGCATGAGCCAAATCATTCAATTGGCGTCGATAGCGTTCCTTATTAATCGTTTGATCTGGTTTTAGGAGCTCATAATACACGACTCCTTTCATATCCCACCAGATGCACAGCATAACCTTATCGCAATGAATATCTCGTTTTGGCTGGGATAGCGCCGGTTGGCCGGGATCAACATACGCTGCTTTACGCTTGGGGTTTTCGTAGTAAACCCACTTTTCATCGCCGGTAACAATTCGATATAAAAAACTGTGTTTTTTGTGCTCTGCAAGATGTTTTTTGCATGTGACGATCCGTGCTTTGCGCTGCTCTTCAGACAGTTGATGTGGAACCCACTTTCCCAGCTTGCGAATCTTTCCCATTGCATGCGAACGTCTGGAAATGGTTGCTTAGTCTACGTTCAACTCCAATGCAAGTTCTTTTTGCGTTTGACATGGATCTTCATCCAATAATGCTTGCAATTCGTCTTCTTCAAACTTTTTTGGCTGACCTGACCGTTCTTTGTCTTCCACGTCAAAATCTCCAATTCGGAAGCGTCGAAACCAGTACTCACATGTACTAGACGATGGAGAATTAGAGCTAACATAAGTTTTTAAAAGCAAACGATGACTTTGAGCAGCAGTTTTCTTCGAACTATAGAAGAAAAGTAAAACTTCCCGCAAACGCTGTTTTTTCGGCACGTATTTTGACATGATTGTAAGTGAAAAAAATTATGTTGTTTACGCTTTGGTAAAATAACACCTACTGAAAACTAATGTCGAATGATGTGGCTTTCACGTGAATATAGTTACAGTATAGCCCGATGCGTTATAGTACAAGTTACGCCATCTGTAGAGGAAATTCTTTAAAACTAATGCATACACCCAATAGTTTTAGTAAATTAAACGAATTTAATATATTATTGGAAATATAACGGTTTTTGTCAATTTTCATTGAACCGACAATGAGTTGTTGGCACCAACCAGAAGAGCCTCAAAACAAAAGCGTGATTTGAATCAAGCTAAAAATGATGCAGAAACGCTGAATCAAGTAATCCGTAAAGGTTACTCAAAAGCAATGCGAGAAGTTGAAGCTGTTCTCGGCAAGGGGGAAATCACTCAAAAGTAATACCAAATAAAAAGAATTACATTGGTAATCCCGAACTTTTCCGTACCGTTGGCCTGCGTTGTCCGTAGGTACTTTTGATTATTTTTTGTGAATTTTCTTGAAATAAAGGCAGTGAAAATATAATAATGAAAATAAAGTGAAAAATCGACAATTCTGTATGAGA